ATGATGATGATCAATTTGAATCGGATGATTCCCAAGAAATTGATAGTCTAGATGATGAAAAAGAAAATAATGATCCTACAATTCTCCATATACAAAACCCAAAAATTTACCATAGTAGAGGTCATCCCAAAGGTACCAAATGCTTGAAATCGGCACATGAAATATCAAAACCTATAGCAAATCAATGTCGATACAAGAAGTGCAGTGGTTTGGGCTATTATCAAAAGAATTGCAAGGTACTTAATTTGTTAATATAAAACATTGAACTAATTATGAATCTGGCTAATAAAAATTATTTGTACAGGCTTAAAAATTCTTATTTAATAGTTATATATTGTATAATCTTATTTTAGCTTCAGTTAGTCTGACTACATATAAAGCAATTTATACAGTATGTGATACGTAAATACCCATTATATAGTAATTATATTGTTGTGTTTACTATGCTTGAAGTTGCATTAAGTTAGTTTCTTGCATATGTACATATTAGTAATTTTAAGGAGTTGCGCCTTCAATTAATTTCAATCAATAGATATGATTTTTAACCCTACCTTATTGATACAGTATGCATATTGGTGAAGTTAATATTTGCAATGTAAATCAAAGGTTTTTTATTCGTCACTTTTCCAAACTAGTTACGCTATATAGTGGTATATAATCTTAAGGTTAGGAATCATATATAATTCTAAAAGGGGCTAATAGGCATTCTAACCTATCGGCATTATGTAACACCCTTCTTAAGGTTAGGGTTAGGTTCAGTCGAAATTAAGTGTAATTCTGAAAGGGGGCTAATAGGCATTTTAACTAATGCCCTTCTTAAGATTAGGGTTAGGGTCAGTCGAAATTAAGTGTAATTCTGGGAGGGGCTAATAGGTATTCTAACCGGTTGGCACTATGTGACGCCCCTAACTCCTTAACTTGATCTGTGAGTAACGTGGCACAAATAATAATATGACACAAATATATAATTACTATATCTCAATGTAATACAAAATACTGATATTATATAGTCATGTGATTTATAGGGACTAGCGATATAACGCTATAGCAATAAATTATAAAATCTATTTTATTTTATTATATTTATCCTTTACTTCTTTCAGAACTTTGCAAGAAAACGGCTTAACTTTTCTGACACTTTACAAGAACACCAATTCTAACATCTCTGGCACTTTGCAGGAAGTCACGAATATGAACGAATATTTTTCTGTTTGTTTTTTGTTTGTTTTTTTTTACTATTTTTTTAATTTTATTTTATTTTATTTATTCCTTACTTCTTTCGGAACTTTGCAAGAAAACAACCACTTTCTGGCATTTTGCAAGAAGTAACAAATATAAGCGAATATAAGCAAATATAGACAAAAATAAGCGAATATGAGCGAATATAAGAAATATAATAGTTTATTTTTTCTGTTTTTATTTTTTTATTTTTTTTTGGTTTCATTTTTTTTGGATTTATTTTTTTTTGACATTTTTTTATAATAATTCATAATAAAATATGTAATATTTTAAAATATAATAATAATAAATAAAAAAAATAAAATTTTATATTGAAAAATTGCAAAAATTTGCGAAAACTTGTAAAACGTTTAAAAATTTGCAAAAAGCATTATTATGTGAATATAATAATTATTAGAAGTTTGCTATTTATCACCACTGGTGATCATCACCGGTGTTCAATTTACCAATTAAAATTCAGGATCAGGTGTAACATGTAGATCAATTTTTGTGTAACAAAAACAAAAATTTTTTAAAAAATTCCTAAAATTGCTTCTAACCTAAAATTTTGCCTATGAAACTACTTTTTTTTATGCAAAAAAAAAATTCCTCATAAAATTTTGGTATAAACTATACCCCCTGCCCCATCCCAGTTCTCACCCTTACCCTAATATTAAAGAGATTTAATTTTTATTTAGTTTGTTTTGTTTATTTTGTTTATGCATTGTAGATCACCAATGATGATCACCAGTGGTGATTTGTAGTAATTTTCGATTAACCAGATATATATCGATTACTACACTATCGATAGTAATCGACAGGGATGATGAGTATCAATATATATCTTACCGGTTAGTAATCAATATATATCTATATATAAAATTTGCCAATGGTAGCAGCCAATTCGAAGTTTTGGGCAGGGCTCCAATGATTAGCCTTAGTAGCTTTTTCAAATTCTTCAAACCCTAGATCTATATACACTCTCTCCTAACTACGCAAAGTCGGAGATATGTATTTTATTTTTTAAAGATACAGCCACACACTCTAACAGAAAAGTTTACAAAAAACAACAAACAGGGGCTTGTCCATGTAGAAACAAAAAACGTAGACCAGAAGTGCCGAGCAGTATGGAAGTAGAAAAAATGGTCAAAAAGAACAAACCAAACCAACCAAACACGTGAACAAAGAGAACAACAACCCAAACAAACAAACATCAAAACAAACAGAACACATCAACCCGCCAACAAAGAACATGTTCAACACCAAACTGAGCAAGAAAAATAACTCGAAAGAGAGCTGTGACGATATGATGTCAGAAGACCTAAACAGTTTAAAAGACATCACAAACATGATATCTTCCTTCTCGAAAGAAGACACGACTGAAAACAATAATACTACAATAGAGAAAAGCAAATCTGTAGATACAGAAGTGACAGAAAAAGCAGCAAAGGATAACTTTTTTAATGATAGCATTGAGTTCTTTGATATTGAAGAAGCCACAGACTAGAACATAAAGAGGAAGCATTGAAGGAAATTTCACACAAGGGGATGCATAAAGAAGCAGGAACCAAAGAAATCTTACTTCACCCGACAGAAAGTGAACTTTATTGTTTACAAAACTGAAAAGAGGAAGATCGACATTCTTATTATTCTTACCTCAGAGAATAATCAAAACCAAGAACGAAAATGCTCTAATAGTAGACATAAGCAATTTGCATTGCTCCTTCAATGAGATTATGGAATCATTGTTCAAAACAGCTGGGTTTTACATCTGCACAGCAAAACAACACTATACAAAAGGGAGTAGAACTCATCTCAAAGTGACCTTTAATGACAAGGAAACCTTGAAATAATATGCGGCAAAAGGGGCATTAAGATTTTGAGTAGGACGTACTTTGGGTACATTCCCTTGGACACTAAGAAAACCTTTCTGTCAATTAGATGCAGAAACATCCTGCTAAGAAAAAAGGAAAAGGTCTCAGAGGCACTTCTGGATAAGAATAAGAATCGGTCAAAAATTTTTAGTTGATTAGTCAGTCGACTAAAACTGTTAGTCATCGACTGACTAAAAATCAACTAATCAACTAAGGGGAGGGACAGAAATCAGCTAATTTTTTAGGATGTGGGGGTTTATGGATCGATCAGGTCTATATTGTTATAATTGGATTTAATTGGCTAATATTCAATCAGGTGGGAATGGGGTATTGCCTCTTAGTAAACAGAAATCATCTGATTTCTGTCCCTCTCCTAATTGACTAATCAAATTAACTAATTGATTAGTCGATTAATCGATTAATCAATTAGTCGATTAGTCAGTAAATCAATTGAGTTAGATAATGTATAAAAATATATATTATAGAATATGCATACATATACAGATATATATATATATGTGCATGTGTAAGTTGTACATGAAACATGAGTTTGTGAACCCATGTGTGATAATATACTGTATTAGTTATTAACCAAACTAGTTGATTAGCCAACTATTCAACTAATTGACTAATTGACTAATCAACTAATCAACTAATCAACTAATCAACTAGTCGACTAATCAACTAATTGACTAATCAACTAATCAATTGACTAACTATACATATGGGCCGATTTGGATCTTTTGGTGATGTTTTCGAATAAGATCTTCAAAATTGTACCAATCAAAATAATATTGATGGTGATTATTGCGAATTTATCTTACATTAAAAATAGATCCAATGATGAAATGATATTTTTAACCAATCACAAACTATCATTTTGAAAAAGTTTCTTGAAATCGCTAGTGTGTTAATCGGTTGGAAATTCGTTTTTTGTGAAATTAACTCCACAACAATTAAAAGGTAGTTAGCTAAATGGTAGGTATAACACTTTGCAAGGTGTCTAGAGCATTACTCTTTTCATCTTGTTGTTTTTGTTGTCTTTGTATTTTTTTATGTTTTCCTACTGAAAACTATCCAGAGGCAGTGTTGTCATGGGACACGGACACGGACGGCAGACAGTCCGGGACGGGACATCCGGGACATGTCCGCCCAGAATTTTTTTGTCCCAGACATTTTGCGACTCAACACGTGATCATCTACCAATAAAATTCGTATAATTCCGCAATTTGATTGGTTTTACCCGGCGGACATGTATCATGTTGGGACATTATTGCGGACATGTCCCGGACGTCCCGTCCCGGACTGTCCGCGTCCCTGAAAAATCAGCGGAACAATGTCCGTGTACAACACTGCCCAGAGGTGGCGTATGGCCGCTTTTTTTTATTAACTCATTATTTAAGGTCATTGGTTATAGAGACCCAACGGGCCCCCTACATTTCATTACATATCCTATTTTCTATTTTAATTTTGTCCTACAAAGTCTATCCTAACCTACTCTCTCTTCATCCGATTTTTCTGGTCGAGTCCAGCCGGACCGTCATTCGGTGCGCCCACCCGAAGGCTTTTTAGATCAACTTTAAGGAGTTAGTTTACTCCGCCGATATGCTTAGTAGGTCCATTTTTCGTCTATCCCAGGTACTCCTTTCCGAGTTTGGAACAGGTCAGGTTTTTCTCGTGGGACTTTTCCTGGTTAGGTGTCATACACACTTATTTATCTTTTCCTTTTATAGTGGACGGTCCTTATGTTTACAACGTTTCTTGTCAGATTTTTTCCTTTTCTGGATGCTGCATGACCTTGTAGTTATGTCACGCAACTTATTGTTGTTGTAGTACCATGTTCAGAAATGGGAGATGATCGATGCCTCATCATAGATCTTTTTAATATCGTGGTCCTAACACGGTTTTTGTCGTCCACTAGACTCGAACCGGCGACCTTGCGAATATGACCCGGAGCGCTAACCACTGCGCTATCCGACCCAGGGTCAGTCTTTGTATTTTTTATTTATACTTGATTTAAACATTTAGGTTGTCTTAGTATATTAATCTTTGGGAATTGGTTTTCAGTGAAATTACAGTAAGTAAATATAATAACTATAGACATTATATTTTTATACCATATTTTTTGTCTTTATATATATTTCTTAATACTTTTATGCTTACAAATATTGTTATTTTATTTAAAATATTTAGGTCATTCATGTACAAAATTTTTGTCATTCGTGTACAAACCTTTTACTTGTATCAAACACGGGGATCATTGTTATTTTGAATAAAAAGATTCTTTATAAGGTGTTTTGAAAGTGTTCTTTAAAGTTT